ACAAAGACAAATTCTAGAAAGATGCACATCAGTCTTTCTAATGTCCTATGAATAAACCAGAGCAAGAAGTGACATGAAAGAAACACAGTCCTGTCATTCTACCCACATCCTTATATCTACCCACATCTACCATCCTAATTGGGTACTCATATGTTCTAAGATATACAAAAAATTTTTCTGACTACTTTCTAAGTTGTTTTAAAGTGCTCCTAAACCTCCTAAACCTCTCCTATCTCCAGATACCAACCTAAATCCTAACACAGAACTTAGTATCAGCACAAACCATAACACCATTATTATAATGTAAAACCCAAAGCTGCATGGTTCTATATTTAGTTAATACTCACCCTTTTCCCTTCTACTTCACATCTCTCTTATATTATTTATGGGTCTCTCTCTTCCCCCAGCCCCCAAGAATACAAGATTCTTCTGAATACAGTGACTATATTTTCTCCATCAGTAAATCACAGTAAAATCACAACAATCTATGTAAGCACCAAATTATTAAATTTGAGACATTCACAAGGATTCTAAAGCATACCTTTTCTCCTCTTTTGACACTTTTAACAATCACTGTGGAGAACGGATATATGGATCCTGATATATGATTACATAGAATACCTTGAAATTTCAGGGCAAAGTATGTAATCATGTATTGATAAACAACACAAGAAATATTAAAAACTATGAAAGAATGTGTAATTCATTGCTGAAATAACCTTTTTCACAAAATCAAAAACTTACCTTTTCATGCTCACCCAAGACGTATCAAAGATACCCATCAACCTTAAAACTCCTTCCAGAATGTCTCTGATTACATCAGGTGGCATGCGTAGTGAGCGTATTTCTGAAAGAGATTCTGGCTTAATGTTTCCAACAGCTAGCTTAGCTTCACTGACTAGAGGCTAAAAGAGAAAAAGGTCATTTTTACTCTCAAAATATACATTTTTTAAAATCACTAACTCTATAAATTATCTAATATTTATTGTCATTTTACTCAACATGACTATAGTCACTAATGTTCTCTCTCTTCAAATATCAAAATACTTTTAAACACACAAAGTAAAAAATGTTCAAGTTGAGAAAGGAAGAGTTCTTGCCACCACAACTGCAAAAATCTAATTTGTTTTGAGGCAATTTGCTATGTTCCAGAGGCTCTTTATATTTTAGAACTAGTTGGCTATTTTAGTCAAGCCTGGAGAAAATGAGCTTAACAGTTTCTTTTAGTTTATCTATTAATACATTATTTTCCTGTACAAACAAAACAACACAGTCACAGAAAACAAATATTATTTTTAATCACCATCATTTAATTCACTTAGTTTGCCTTGATGGTTTTCTTTCTTTCTTCTCTTTTATAAGTAATATTCTGATTGAAAGCCACATTTAGTAACACTTATTAAAAAATAACTTGAGCTACAAATAATGTTTAAACTCCTACATATAACTGGTAGTCAAAAATGTAAATGGATCTTAGAATTTTTTTAACTTACCCGTACTTCTTTTAATTCATCATCAATTTTATTTTTTCTTTCTTCAATCTTAACAACTTCTTCTGCTATTTTGTGCTTCAGTCTTTCAAGTTCTGTCTTTTGTTCACTCGCATCCTACAGGAATATTTTAGTGGCATTCCAATCAATTTTAATGCACTCAATATTTAAAAGCATGATACCAAAAAATATAGCATTTTAAAATAACATTTTCTTGTTTGTTTGTGGTTTTTTTGGTTTTGTTTTCGGGGTTTTTTTGGTGGCTAGCACAGGGATCAAACCCTGGACCTTGGTTTTATCAGAACCACACTCTAACCAATTGAGCTAACCAGCCAGCCTTAAAACAACATTTTCTATTAAGTTTTCTTCTTCTAAATTAATTTTTTATATATTTTTTTCTAAATTATTTTTTTCACAGAAAAAAATATTAATTTTGAACCTATGCCACGAGAATTTCCAAAATGCCTGGGAAACCAATTATATATTTTACCCTATATGAGGGTAGCTCAAAAAGTTTATGGAAAATAGAATTAAAAGATAATACAAATCTTTCTATGAACTTTTTAAAGTACCCTGGATTTACTACCAGAAAAGTTTCTATGCTTTATTTGTTTTAATTTTTTCTGCTTAGAAAAGTAATACACTTTTTAAATGATCATAATAATACACATTTAAGACTTGAGACAATCCGGGAAGGTCAGTACTCTTATGCTCATTTTATAAATGAGGAAACTGACAATAAATGTCTTTTATAATTCTAATATAATAGAAATTATTAATTTGTAGAGAAAGATTAGTATATTTGTACTTCTAAAAGGAAAAAAATTGATCTTAGAAAAAATAATTTTGTATTTTTATCTTTGAAAAAAATTCAAATAAGTGGCAAATATCTAAAACAAAATGAGTGAAAATTCAAACAATTTATATATTAAAATCATATGACTTCTTCACTCACAGTGGAAAAATCAAGAGCATTAGATCCCATGTATATAAAAAGTGTTTGAATATTATAAATGTATGTATTTGGTTTATCTATACTAATTGAA